AGAGAGAGAGAGAGAGGAGAGAGAGAGAGAGAGAAGAGAGAGAGAGAGAGAGAGAGAAGAGAAAGAGAGAGAGAGATAGAGAGAGAGAGAGAGAGAGAGAGAGAGAGAGAGAGAGAGAGAGAGAGAGAGAGAGAGAGAGAGAGAGAGAGAGAGAGAGAGAGAGAGAAGAGAAGAGGAAATACACAGATATAAAGTTGAATATAGATATAAACTATTTTTCATTGCAAACATAGTTCATATGGATCAACATCATCGGTTTTTAAATACTGTAAGTCGAAGCAATTTCACAGATAACACAAAAAAAAAAAAATAAAAGAAAGAAAATAATAGATAAATAGGAAAGAATGAAAGAAAAAAAATACTATCCTTATGATAAAAGCTTTCCCGAACCTTTCAGTAAGTATCAATTCACCCAAATGCTTTCTATATACACATTAATTTAATTAGAATTCCAAGTCTTCTTGACTGAATATATTGTTTCATATTATGTATGTAAACTTCATGGAAAGGAAGGTAATCAAGTGAGAGACTGTTCTATATTCGCATATTTAATCTGTCACAATTTCAATACAATTGTTTAGAAAGGTAATATCACTTTGATAGACATTACCGCCTAAGGGAATGTGAAGACGAAGGTAGACTTACTCCTCTAATGGTTTGTCTTCTTAGAAATCACAATCGTTTATTTTAATTATGACTAGACGGACACTTAACGCTCATGATATGTTGACTATTCTATTTCACTAGTGACATGTTCTCTCTATAATTCTAGAAACGTAAAACTCTTTGTTTTTTTTCCACGTATCAAAACGTTGTACACAACACTAGCGTCCAGAGGGACCAGGAGTTTTAAAAAAAAGCGAATAATGTCTTCATGGAAACTAGGAAAATAATCTTCAACTTTTTTTTTACTCCGTCCTTCACTTGTAGTCAGAAACCCAGCCACTCGTACGTTCAGCTGGTTTGGGTGTGTCTCTGTCTCCCCCGGGAAAAAAAGTGAAGCACGGGAGATGTAGGCTTTGGTTTTGGCTCTCCGTCTTGGTCCGTGCCAACCCGCCTATAAGGGTTGGCACTTGGGGCGTGGCACTGTCGCTGGAGGTTGAAATGTGGCCTCTCTTTTTCACTCTCTTTCTCCCTCACACACGGACTCGTAATCTCACTCCCTGTAATAGAAATCAGAGCGGGTTTTATTTCGACATGAAATTTACGGTCTCGCGGCAGAATCATTTGTCTCGCGAGATTAAAACATCATTTCCTCAAAAGACAATCAGAAAACCTAATCAACGAATCCAAACGGAAATGATGGCCCCTATCAACACGTAAACCGAAAACCAATTAACTGAAACCGTCGACGTTAATTAGGGATTATTTTCAGGTAAAGCTGTGTCCCTTCTCCCTACCTACCTACCTAGTCCTCCCCTACGCCCCTCTCCTTCCTCTCTTCCTCCTTCTCTCCCCACATTCTTTACCTCCTTCTCTTCTCTTTCTCTCCGTCAAATCTTTACCTCCTTCTCCTTTTTAGTCTTTACCTCCTTTTCTTCTTCTTTCTCTCCGTCACAATCTTTACCTCCTTCTTCTCTTCCTCCCACATCTCCTACTCTCATTCCCCTCCCTTCCTCCGTCACCTTTTCCCCCTTCCCCTTCTCCTCCCTTTCCTCCCTTTCCTCCCTATTTCCCTCCTCTTCCCAAACTCCCTTCTCTCACTCCTCCCTCTCCGCCACCCCCCTTCCACGCCCTACCTCCCTATCTCCCTCCTCTTCCCAAACTCCCTCTCTCACCCCCCTCTTCCGCCCGCCCCCTTCCACGCCCCTTTACCCTCCCTAATTCTCCCTCCTCTTCCCACCTCCCTTCTCTCACTCCTCCCTCCCCTCCCCCCTTCCACCCCTTTTACCCTCCCTAATCTCTCCTCCTCTTCCCAAACCTCCCTTCTCTCACTCCTCCCTCTCCGCCACGCCCCCCTCCACGCCCTTTACCCTCCCTTATTCTCCCTCCTCTTCCCAAACCTCCCTTCTCTCACTCCCTCCCTCCAGCCACCCTTCCCCTTCCTCTTCCCTTTTCCCTCTCCTTATGTCTCCCTCCTCTCCCAACCTCCCTCCTTCTTCGCCACGCCCGCCTCTCCTCTCCGCCTCACTCCCCTTCCTCCCGTTTACCTCTCCCTAATTCTCCCTCCTCTCCAAACCTCCCTTCTCTCACTCCTCTCTCACCCCGCCCCCCTTCCTCGCCCCCAGCATCTTACCCGAACAAGTTAGCTCCAGCGGAATCTTCATGATGAAATTAGACTCACGTAAGATCGTTCAGGCATGAGGGTCGAAGAGGAGGTCCTTGGACTGGCCTGCCACGGGGATACCTCGAAGAGAGAGAGAGATGAATGGATATATATAATATATATATAAGTAATATAATATAATAATATATATAATATATATATTATAAAATAAATATAATAATAATATATATATAATACATATAATACTATATTATATATATATATATAATATAT